TCAGCCGTTGAAATGCCACCTCAGCCTCTTCGCCCCATTCAAACCTCGACCTCTTTTTGATTGCTTGAAAGAAATACAGGCACTTGTCACCTGACCGGCTGAGGAATCTCCCCAATGCCGCCAGGCAATCGGTAAGATTTTGAGCCTCCCTAACGGTACGAGGCGACTGCATGTCAATCACCGCCTGCACTTTGTCCGGATTGGCCTCTATGCCTCTCTGATCAATCAAAAATCCGAGAAACTTCCCAGACTCAACTCCAAAGACGCATTTTTTCGGGTTTAACATGACTTTATGCCGCCTGAGGGTGGTGAAGGTTTCTCGGAGGTCGACTAGATGATCCGCCTGCAGCTTTGACTTGACTATCATGTCATCGATGTACGCCTCCACATTCCTTCCAATCTGATCATAAAAGACCGAGTTCATCATTCGTTGGAAAGTAGCAGGCGCGTTCTTCAACCCAAACGGCATCACCGTGTAGCAGTATAGCCCTTGATCTGTGACGAAAGCCGTCTTCTCTTGGTCTTTCTTCCACAAGGGTATCTGGTGGAAGCCGGAGTAGGCATCCATGAAACTCATCAGGGCATGGCCGACTGTAGAGTCTACCAAATGATCTATTTTTGGAAGCGGGTAGCTATCTTTTGGACAAGCCCTGTTCAGGTCCGTGTAATCTACACACATCCGCCAGGTTCTATTCGGCTTTTTCACAAGGACGACATTGGCTACCCAATCCGGGTAGTAACATTGCCGGATGAACCCAGCATCTAAGAGTTTCTTGACCTCAGTTGCTGCCGCCTGGGACCTTTCCTCGCCATGGTTCCTTTTCTTTTGCCTGACCGGCTTCTTCTTAGGATCCACAACGAGTTTATGAACAGCAAGATCCGAACTTACACCCGGCATCTCTTCTACTTCAAAGGCAAACACATCTTTGAACTCCTTTAGCAAAAGGAGTAAATCTGATCCCAAACTTTCAAACGCAACCGTTCCAATCTTGACCGTTCTGTCAGGCCGGCTGTCTTCAAGGACAATGTCAATTATTTCTCCAGCCGACTGGGGGGCGAAGGACGTCTGGCCTCTCCCCGAACAGTGATTGCTATTGTTTCTCCTTTACAGGCGCCAGTTGGTCCGCCTTCCTCTTTTTACCGGCTGGTTTAGTAGCCAGTAAGCTTTGATCACAGTCGTCAAGTTCAACTATTTCTTTCTCTTGACCGTCTGTGTCAAGCGTTGGTTTGATGTCCGAGAGGTAACACTCTCTCGCCATCTTTTGGTCCCCACTCAAGGAACCGACTGTGCCATCATCCCTTTCAAACTTAATCAACATTAGAGATGGGATGATGACTGCCTTTGAAATGTTAAGGGTTGGGCGGCCAATAATCAAGTTGTAGGCAGTCAGCTCTCCTACAACAAGAAACTTGACAACCATGTGCCGGCCCTTTCCCTTTTCTCCGAACCGGATGGGTAGATCAATCATGCCCACCGGATGTATTACTCCTCCCCCAAAACCTACAAGAGGGTATGAGGTCGGATGCATGCTACTGGGATTATACTTGAGTTTTTCCAAGCACCGGTAGCTTATGAGGTCGGATGAGCTCCCGGTATCAATCAAGATCCGGCCAACTCTTTGATTGGCGATTTTGCACTCGATGACTATTGGGTCATCATGAGGCCGCCTGACCTCTCCTTTATCTTTCTCGGAGATGTTTACTTCCGGAAATGAATATTCAGACGACTGGCCCTCATCCACTGAGTTGACCAGTCTCCGAATGTTATCTTTCGTGCCCCGGATGGTAGGCCCACCTCCCGCAAATCCACCGGCTATGGTCAGGATGGTTTCCTCATCCGTATCCGATTGAGTAGCCGGCTTCTTTGGGGGTGGTCCTTTTGTTTGTTTGGGAGCACCCTTTGACTTGGAAAGGTATGATTTGAGAGCCCCCTCATCAGCCAGCCGGTCAAAGAGCCGCCTGAGGCTAAAGCAACCCTCAGTGTCATGGCCAATTTCCTCATTAAAAAGGCAATATTTGCTCTTATCCCGGGCGCTTAGGGGACTCTTCATAGGAGCCGGTTTTTCAAGATTCAACCGTTCTTTTACTTCGTTGAGAATGGAGGCACAGTCCTTGCTGAACTCGTACTTTGGCACATACGGATCCGACCTCTTTCTTTTCTGGAAAGGTTGTCCGGATGAGTCTGCCGCCCATACCCCCTTTCTCTTGTCTTCCTTTTTGGCCGACTGGGTAGGCCGATTCTCTTTTTTATCGGATCTTTTGTAATCCGTTGGAAGTTTCACAGCACACAATTCCATTGCCTGAATGTAGGCCTCCGCCTTCATGAGCGCCTCGTGAAGAGTGGAGACCCTCTTCCTAACCAAGTCAAACTTGAAAGTTGATCCGTCTTTTAAGCCTTTGAAGAAATCAGTATAGGCAACGTCATCAGACAATCCATGGATTTGGATCCTCATCAGGTTAAACCGCCTGACATATGACCGGAGCCCTTCTTTGTCTCCCTGCTGGATTGCCCCTAGATCAAGGCTTGTTTTCTTGGCAGGGATGTTCATAGAAAAGTTGGACGTAAACCAGTAGGCCAAGGTCCTGAAATTATTGATGCATCCGGCTGGGAGGTTACCAAACCAACGTTGAGCAATCCCTTTCAACGTTGCCGGGAAGCACCGGCACCATGAGGCGTCATCCAAACCCTGCAAATACATCAGGTTGGTGTATGCCATGAGATGATCTTCCGGGTTGGTGGTACCGTCATAGGAACCTACCAACACGTTTTTTATCTTAGCCGGCTGGGTCATCTCGGTGATTTCCCTGGAAAACGCCGTTGGCTGTTCCCCAAGGTTGAGCAGCCGGAGCTGCCAGTCCATAGGCTGGACAGGCGGCTGCGGCTGCCCCCCGAAAATACCCGGCTGGGCATAGGGGGATCCAAAGGGCGTGTATAGTGTTCCATGCAATGCCGGTTGGATCATATGAGGGCCGAATCGAGCGGAAACCTCGCTCGTCTGGCTGTCATTGTTTGTTCTCGAGTGCCTCCCTGATGTGGCATTGAAGCTGTCTCGAAAGGTCGATGTTGATGCCGACTCGGATCGCTGAGTCTTTTTATCTTGGATGAGCGTCCGGGCATTAGAATAGACTTTCTTTGTTCCATCCGGCTGAATGTGCCGGACAGGCTTTCTGACTCCATCTATGGGAGTGTGTATCTTTGAGGAATCAAAGGGCCTAGCCGGCATTTTTGACTTCGGATGCGGGGTAGATGCTCTACCCTTGACTGTTTTGGTTGTCTTTTTACCAAGACGCCTTTCTTCCGCCTGACGCTGTATTGTCCAGAAGGCCTTTGATCTCTCCTTTGAAGCTCATCATCATGTTCATGAGTTCATCTCTGGAGACTGGGGTGGCTCCTTCCGAAGCAGGAGTCAACCCAAGCGGTCCCCTGGTAGGATGATTTGGGGCCGCCTGCTGCTCTGCTCGTTCCCTCTTGTCTTGGAACGAGTATGCTTGGTTCTGAAAGAACCATCGGCTGCTGTGTAAGTTTCAATCTCATGATTGTCGGCTAAGTCCTGGTCCGAATGGACCTCAACCTCACCAGCAGGTTGACTACTTTTACCCGGCTGTACCGGTTCTGAAGTCATCTAGAAAGTACTCTCCCCACAGACGGCGCCAGATGTTTGGGGGTTTTTTATGTGTCCTTCGGGAGAGTTACAATTTCCTATTATGCTCCTTCCTTTGCCGGTAGCTGCACAAATAACGGAATACTCCGGCTGGGGCTGGGGTGTTCCGCCTCCGAAGATTAAGTTAGTCTCTTTCTGAATGAAGAAATAAGACAATAAATGCTTCTCGATTTGAGAGCGTTTGCAAGGGGATTTGTGTTTTGTTGTTTTGTGGGAAAATGATTCCATCCCCATTAAGGAGGTCTGCCCTTACTATTTATAGTAGGGAGAACTGTACCTCAATTAGGGTATAATGACACGTGTCGCAAAGAGATTGGGCCTTTGCTGACCGTTGCAAGCTTGACACGTGGCAGGCCTTTATTGGGCCACGTGTCTTAGGGTATTTTTACCCTAAACAATTATAAATGATATTTATAAAATACAAGTTAATCTTTATGACTGACAAATTTTGTCAATTGGCAATACATATATATATATATATATATATATATATATATATATATATATATATATATATATATATATATTAAGTTGTTTATGGGCAAAACCGGGCAACGTTACTTCAATTGCCACTAGATTGACAAAATTTGTGATCAATAATAGAGATTAACTAGGTTCGCCTCTATGACATTCAATTTAATATTGGGACTTCCTATGATTTTTACTTGAGTTAAAGGAAAATTAAGGTAATTTAAAATTATCTTTACTTAGATGAGTAATTGAGTATAGAAACAAAAATAGTTGAACACCATAAGTGTTAGCCAATCAGATGATTAGAGATCAAAGGATGTTATTTGCAATTAGGACCGGGATTACCAATGATTATCTTTACTTGTTGGGAGCTTGAAGTAGTTTGCCTGTACTCTTCAGAGCATTGAAAGGACGACAATGGTAAAGTTTGTACTAGCACTGCCGCAGGAGCATAGAGCAGTAATCAATGAATTCGTGTTTGTTCATATGTCAATTGAAGATGAGGGGGTGAACTTTAGAGTTTGTTCTGCTATTTATTTAATTCATGCGAAATACAAGCACTGTCGAACTCTGGGTTAAGGCGTTAGTAATCTTAACATACCATTCACACTTTGCTTCTAAGAATGATAGAAGTGCAAATTGATCATGGTTGATACTTGATCATTCAACTTTGTCAAACCTGAAATCCCTAAAAGCCATACCAAATTTGATCCAAATGCATTTGCCACTTCCATTAGCATGTGCCCAATACTAGATACTTTACACATTTGTAAGCTTCACCAGAACGTAGCTAAATGGAGAGACATGTAGTATAAATTGCAAAGTCATCTGTTGAAATTCCCAAATAACAAAACATACAGCATATGATTGACCAAAGGCAAACAAAAAAAAATTCCTCAATTATATAGTCACTAATTAGTAGTACACTACTATTTTCAGAAGTCAGAAAAATACGCATACAAATAAAGGACTTGCAAAATCACCCAGCTCAGGGTGTATAAATATAGAGCATTTTTAATTACTACCTCCGTTTTTTTTTTATGTGCAACTTTGGGGCAATTCACGGTTCGCGAAGCAAAAGATTGAAGGGTAAAGATTAAGAAAGTATAATGGTGATTAATATATTATAGGAGTATGTAATTAAGGTGGAGAGAGAATGTTTGGTTAATTAATCAAACCAGCCACCACCACCAAGACCAGCCACCACCACCGCCGCCGCCTTCACCAAAACCACCGTCGGCTTCACCACCACCACTACCACCCCCACGAAACCACCACAACCAACCCCATGAAACCACCACCACCACCCTCACGTCTTTCTCCTTTTTCCGGCCACCAAAACTCCTTCTTCAACAATGGAACCTCAATTCTCTCTCAAACGCCACCATTCTCATTCTCTCTCTAACCCACCATTATCATCTTATTCTTCTACTCCACCTTCTCAACAACTCATACCCTCCGAAAATGGCGGCGAAACCCAATTCCGATTCCTCTGTCCCTCCGCAACAGTCGGCGGTGTCATCGGAAAAGGCACCATTCTCATCCAGATTACATCGAACAAGAGCACAAACCTCAAGAACTACCTCAACAACCACCGCCTACTCCGAAGCCGTATTCTACAATTCTCGATCCTTCGAATCCGCTAGGGTTTCTCCAATCTGCCATTGATTTCGTTGCGAAAGTGACGGATTTCTTCGCCGATGATTCATGTGAGAAGGAGATTCGCAAAAGTCGGCGGTGTCATTGGAAAACGCGACGTCGTAGTCCGCCAACTTAGGGATGATACCGGTGCTCGAATTCGCATCGTTGATGATCTTCCTCCCTTTTCGTGCTGTGATGAAAGGGTAATTCACATCATCGCCAATTCGAAAAACCCTAACCCTAATTCTGCGGAGGAGAGGGAAGAAGGGTTGATTGGGCAGGCGGCGTTGGTGAAGGTGTTTGAGAGGATATTGAAGGTTGGTGAAGGAGGAGAGAGAATTGTGGTGGGAGGAGCGGTGGTCGTGACTCTTGAGGGGGGAGGGTGAAAGAGATGAAGAAGGTGAAGGTGAAAGAGATGAAGAGCAAAGATGAAGAGGGTGAATGGGTGGTGGCTGGTGGGTAGAGAGATGAGTAAATGGGTGGGTAAAATTAGGTTAATGATTTTAGATTAGATAAAAAAGTTATTGTGATTAAAATAAGATAAGGGTAACATTAAGAAAATCTGAATTTTTAAATAAGGGTAAATTTGTAATTTTCAGGGTTTTTGTTTACTAAAAATAGAAAGAAAATAGAAAGTTGCACATAATAGTGAACGGACTAAAATGGCAAAAGTTGCACATAAAAATAAACGGAGGTAGTATAACCTTACAAAAGTAGGCCAAAGCAAACATAAAAGCTTAATATGGAACATTATTGGGAAGATTCCGAATAACGTTGCTCTTCATACCCATCTTACTCCGCATGTGTTCTACTCCAGATCTGTTAATCTCCTTCAACACCTTCATTCTTATCATTCGATCCTTTGATTGCACAGTTGCTAGACCCATGCTCTTATACCTGAAATAAAAATGGAAAAAAAAAAAAACCCCATTGTAAGGGGTAGACTAAGTACTAGTAGCGAACATCACACTGTAATCTATGAAAATCTCAATTGGATACAGAGGTTTTGAAAGGCATACCTTGCAGCTAGCGCCAAAGAAATAGCCATATCATTCGCAGGAGCAGGGCGTGGGTTTTGCTTGTAGTAGCGCAAGAATTCTCGTGATCCAAGTGTCTTCGCAGATGCACCTTTATCAGTCCTGCTTTTAATGATGAGCTCAGCCCCGCCACTTCCAAGTTCAACAGAATTAGCTCCATCATCAACTGCAACAAGCTGTTTTCCATCTACATCCATGAAGCTACCAAAATCAAAGAAACCAAATTAGCATTTAACATGGAAAAAAACCAATAAAAAAAAATTATCAGAATATTGGAGCAGTCTTTAATACACAGAATGGAATAAGTGAGCTCTGGAAAATAAAGTTGCAAGGGGTGGAAGCAACAAGGTGTGAACAAAAAAATCAGAACCTGTTAGGTAACCTGCAATACCATATACAGAGTAACAAAATTGGGAACTTGTTGCAACAGGTAAAACAATTGGGTAACCAGTCAACACCGAATTCAATACCGGGTACAATGAATCGGAACCGGAAAAAAAATGCTATTTAAGCCCAAATCATAAAACAATCTAAGCCCTAATCATAGAATAGTTTTATTTTTTTGTTTGGCACAATTTTATCAAGTCAAGATAATGGCAGGGTTCCCTAAACCAAAACTGGTACCCATTGGTTCCCATTTTCCAATTCTGGGAATTTTGACAAAGTTTTCTGCATTGCTCACCCCTAGAAGCAACTTGTTCCCTCACAACTCTCACTTAACAACTAAGGGCTTTTGTAAAGAGTTTTTAGAAACAATTGCACCTTAAAAAGAAAACCCATCATTTCTGTCTTAGATCTCCCTAACTTCCACCTGTCTTTACCTATATTTTGTTTCTCCTACAATATTTCATCACCTGTAATTACTTTTTCCCGGCTGATTCCAGATTTACCTTTTGTAGTTTTCTATTTCCAAACCTCAAAAACCCACCAGTCAACCTCAAGTGAAAAAAAATGGAAAGCCCTTAGATTGGTATTAATTATAAACTAAAAATAATAGGATTAGTACCTGGTACTATAATCATAAAATTCTTCTAATTCCACCTCCTCTTCATCACCTCCATCACCAAAACGAACTTTGCAGTGACTTTTTGCTTCCATGTGCTTCCGAACCGCCTCCAAGCTGCTAAATGGTTGACATCTCTCGTTGCAGTACAAGCACAAGAAATCCCTTTTCACCTAACAGAACAGAAAAATCAGAAGTGACATAAATTAAAAGAAGTGGGGACATAGAGGATTTGCAAATCCACATCATTCCTTGCCATATAATAGTTGTAGCAACTTGATACCTTGATCCCAAGATATGTGAGGAAGCCCTTTGGATCTTTCAAATACTCGATATCTGGAATGAAGAAACCGTGCTTTTTGTGCATATGAACCATACATTTTTCTATTGTTTGGTGCTTTAAGTCACACATAAAGCAACAAGTTGGGTCCAGGTCTTCAAACTCATCTTCTACATCACTATCAGAATCAACCACAGCAACAGAATCCCCATTCATATTCATAGATGTAAGTGAATTTGTAGCCTCATCAATGATGTCATCCTCGGAATCTACCTCCTCCCACTCACTTTCATCACTCTCCTCCATGTCCACATCTTTTCTAGGAGGAGGCTGAACTGGGGTACGACGTGTCAGTGGCCTAACTATGGCAGTGTTTTCATTTTGATTATTATCTCCAGAAAAAGCTCGCATGATGTGACTCTTTGATTTGAGATGCTGAGCATGAGCCTTAGAGCTTCTGTAACCCTTGCCACAAATTCTACAACTGTAGAGCATGGGGGCCTCATTTAACTTGTTCTTTTCCTCAGCAAGTGCAGATAGCCTTGCCAAAAATAGTGCTTCTGTTACCCCAGGAACCCCAGCAATCTGCAACATAAAATTAGAACACAATACGGAAGTAAAAATTAATTAGAAACTCTAAAGAATATTGCATGGAAAAAAAAACAGAGCATCACTAAACAGAAAACTAAAGTGACAACAATGCAGTATAATTTCTTCTAGCATAGACCTAGCACCTAGCCATCTAAAGCATAGTTATATAATAACAATTGAAGAACCTAAGGAATGTAACCTCCCCTAAGAGTACTATAAAGATAATATAACCTCTTACAGCTACAGAATATTCTCCCAAGGATCCCCGCACCATGGCTCCTATCACCTTTCCAAAACATACAAGCCTTTGGAAGAAAATGAAATCCCGGCTCATTATATGACGATATTTTTTCCTTTCTAGTAAGATAAAGGCTCACACCATCGGGATAAGGAAGAAATCCCTAAGATAAAGACTGGTGAAAAACGATCCATGGCTAACAGCTCTTAACTCCTACTCTAATGATCAAGATAAAAACAAGATAAAAGACTCATTCTAAACTCTAGCATCTCTGTAAAAACCCTTGAAAATCTAAACTACACAAACTACTTTGCCCAACAGTAATCATACAACTTTTCTAGGACTATGATAGTTCGTTGCTGCCTACTTAGCCAATCAATTATATAGTACTTCGTATTTTGTTGATTTGCCTTTATTAACAAACGGTCACAGGAAACTCTGACTGTGAGTTTACTCATTGCCAAGGGAATTGCATTGGGTTCGTGACAACCAGCATAAAGCTATGTCACATCCATAAGATGATTCATGCAGCCGACCCTGTATCTTTGGGAATAAGGCTATTGCGAAGAAGCTTAATGATCACAAGGCTCAAACACGATTTGATGAAAGAAGTATACACTCACATAAGTCTAAGATATGAAATCCTCAATATGAATTAACACAGTAAACATTATTCTTAGAAAATAACACACAAAACAGCCCAAATCCCTTAATCAGGGAAGTCCAAGCATAATTAATAAATTTCTGAACTTCAGCAAACATAGACAGGTCTATTAAATGCCCAGTTATCAACCCAAGTTTCGTTTGTTCGAGCATACAAGTCTTATCCTGGTAAATATTGTGTTGTTCACATAATATTCAATTGATTTAACCCTAGAAGAACCAGAAACACTCAAAACATATTACAAACATACACAAATTGGTCAAATTCAATCACCCAACAAACAAAAAGGCAAATTAAGCAATAACCCATAAAAATTAATCAAAAACCCAAATAAAAAAGTGATATAAAAAGAAGAAAAAACATAAACTTACAAAAATCAGTGAGTTTATTGTTACCTTGCGTTTGAGGTTGTAACGGTGCCATTCAGATTTATAATGAAGCTTTTGTTCTAAATCACCGTTGAATTCTTTGTTGCATGCATTGCAGGAAAGCCCAGACATAACTATTTCGGATTCAATTTCCTGAGTTAGGGTTCTAAAATCTGTGATTTTTTCAAATGGTGGCCGCTTATTACTTTATTAGGGAAATAGGGAGTTCTCTTTAATCGGGATAAAGTAGGTATTTTAGGAGTGCGAAGGTTTACGACGGCTCAAAGTCGGTGTAAGATTAGAATTTGTATTGCTATTGGTCTCTTTATTTCTTTTTAATTGTTACGTTGTATTTTTGTTTTTGAGTTATACCATTATTTCATTATTTGACATGTTCAAATTCTAACTTTTAATATATTTGAAATTACAAAAACTTCATCCGGTTAACACTAATATTAGTGTACATCGAGCGGTATAAGGGTAACTTTAAGTCAATTTAGGATAAATTTTTGCCTTTTTCTTAGTAATTTTGAACATAATATGATTTTTTTTTATAAATAGAACGAGAAAAGTTTTATAAGGGTAATAAAATTACTTTTAATCACTAATAATTGATTTTTAGTCATTTAAAATGTGATTCTTTACCAATAAAACGTAGATTATTTTTATTTGTATTGGGTTACTTTTATACATATTGGGGTAACTTTTATTCATTTCATGGGTAACTTTTGATCACTTTAAAAGATCTTTATAATGGATGTACAATAATTATTGTACACCCGATTTTTTTAAAGTTTGTGTTAAAATTATCGTAAGTAGAAATTATAAAAAGTTAATACTAAGATATATATTGTGACGATTCTAACATGATCCCACATAATTATAATTTTCATTAAAAAAAATCACAAGTACGATTAAAAGAAGGTGTGTGAATAATGCTAAAGTCAAAACGTGTCAACTAAAAAAAATGAAGTAGTCGTACTGCAGTTTCATTTGGTGCTTGTATGTTGTAATTAGGGGTGATAATGAGTATAGCCTATTCGTGAATAGTTCGATCTCAACTCGGTTAAAGTTGAGATTGTGGTGCTTATTGACATCAACCCGTGCTTCAAAGTCAAGCTGAAAAAGCTTCCTGAGCATGGTTAGTTATATCGTATCACGTATGCACTAGACCTGGGAAATGGGTCATTCGGGTTGGGTCTGGTTCGGGTCACTTTCGGGTCAGCTAACATTCGGGTCGGGTCGATTCGGGTTTCGGGTCAACTTTGGGTCAGGTATCGGGTCAATTTCGGGTCGGGTCAATTTCGGGTCATATTCGGGTCAGGTCAAAATCTGGTCGGGTCATGTTCGGGTCAGGTCAAAATCTGGTCACGTCATGTGTGGGTTGTTTCATTTGTGAATCAAGCTCAAATGAATAATTTTATTCTGAGTATATATTTTGTTATTGTTATAATAGAAACTATCAATTCAGTTTATGACCTTAGCTACGGTTGAATATGAACAATTTGAGTTACTTTTGGTACAAGACATTTTAGGTTCAATTATAAGGTAATTTTAGTTTGGGACATTTTGGGTATCGGGTCAATTTTGGGTCGGGTCAGTTCGGGTGTCGGGTCAGGATCGGGTCAACTCCATTTTCGGGTCGGGTATGGGTCGGGTCGGGTCAATTTCGGGTTACGGGTCATTTTCGGGTCAATGCTTTTGGGTCAATTTCGGGTCATTCGGGTCGGGTCATCGGGTCTGGGTCAGGACTGCCAGGTCTAGTATGCACTGTGTGCATTAGCCGTCCTCGAATCAAAAGAAAAAGGGAAATTCTATTTGGTGGCCTCGTGGTTTCAAAAATTCCACATGGAAGACAAACTTTTTTTTTAGTCTCTGTAGTGACCTCGTGGTTTTGCATATTTGATTATAGTGGCCTTTTTTAGGTTTATGGCTAACCTTTTTAGCTAAAATGGTTAACCTTTTGATTTTTTTTTTTAAAAATATATTAATTTAAAAAATAAAATAAATAAATTAAAAAAAAAAAAAAAAAAACCAGCCACCATCAACTACCACCCTTCCTCCCTGCCACCACCAACCCCACACCCACCGACGCCCTGACCCACCCTCGCCGGCGTGCATGCTTTCCCAGCCGTCGCCAATCCCCCCTAAACCACCACCCATCCCCGGAACCCCCTCCCTCTCTCACCGAAACTCCATTAAAAACCCTTCCCTCACCTCGAAAACCCCAACCGGCCCTCCTCACACCTCGAGAAAACCCGTCGCCCCTCCCCCCACCACCGCGCCACCATAAACCAGCAGCCACACCTCTGAATAAGCGGCGACGAGTTTATGCTTTGTTGCTTTGATTTGTGGTTGCTACCGCTTATTAAGAGGTGTGGCTACTGGTTTGTGGTGGCGCGGTGGTGGGGGGAGGGGCGACGGGTTTTCTCGAGGTGGGAGGAGGGCCAGTTGGGGTTTTTGAGGTGAGGGAAGGGTTTTTAATGGAGTTTCGGTGAGAGAGGGAGGGGGTTTCGGGGATGGGGTGGTGGTTTAGGGGGGATTGGCGACGGCTGGGAAAGCATGCACGCCGGCGAGGGTGGGTCTGGGCGTCGGCGGGTGTGGGGTTGGTGGTGGCAGGGAAGAAGGGTGGTAGTTGATGGTGGATTTTTTTTTTAATTTATTTATTTTATTTTTTAAATTAATTTATTTTTAAAAAAAAATCAAAAGATTAACCATTTTAGCTAAAAAGGTTAGCCATAAACCTAAAAAAGGCCACTATAGTCAAATATGCAAAACCACGAGGTCACTACAGAGACTTAAAAAAAAGTTTGTCTTCCATGTGGAATTTTTAAAACCACGAGGCCACCAAATAGAATTTCCCAAAGAAAAAAAAGTCCATAAAAGCTAAGTTTCATTTTCCTATGACTAAATTAATTAACTAAAAACCATACATCGAAAATAGAAGTAAAAAAGTATTTGTTATAGATCAAAGTTGAATAAATAAGGCTCAATTTTGCTAAAAACACAATCTTTAAGGATTAGTTTTAATTACAACTAAAATCAACTATTAGGTAGATTTATAAATAAAAACAAATTACGCCGCAAACAATTCTCTCCTCTCTCCAAAACCCTAGCCTCCATTGTTGAATTTTGAAGGGGCTTTCATCGGTTTAACCGGTGAAAAGCCCCAATCCTTGTTTCTTTAAAGTTTTTTAGGTTTATAATAATGCTTCCTCCTTTTGGGAGGATCTTTTCTCCCTCGAAAGAAAGGGTTTTCGATCTCCTTTGAAAGACAAGGGTTTTTCGACCTCCTTCGAAAGACAAGGTTTATCTCCTCTTTTCGAGGAAGAAATTTCTTAGTTTTGAATCCATGATATTAGATCTAATGGATTGTCGTGAAATTATTTCATTGATGAAAAAGTTATCAAGTTTTCGAATACAGACATATGAATCAGAAGGAAAACATCTCACGGCTACAAAGGATCGTTATATTGTCTCTCCAACAAAGCTGTATTTTCCACCGATATAAGCGGGAGATGTTCCACGATGCAAGATCTACTCGACGATCGTAGTTTTTATGAAGGAAAATTTTATTTGATTCAATATCTTATGTATTTGTTAACGTCGAATCTTTATTGTAGATGTCGTATGACTTTTAATTAATGAAATATTTTTGCTATTCAAACAAAATAAGGATTAGTTTTAATTTCTTCATGCTATCTTCCATATCGGGGTTAAAAAAAACTTTCTATGAAAGGCCTATAATGAGTTTTAATTACAAGGTAAGTCTTAATCTAATTCAATTGATATATTGTTGACAATATTTTTATTCTCTGCAACAATATCTTATAGATTCCCCAGATCAAATAAATTGAAGAGAACCAATAATCAAAGTTAATATATGAAAATTTTTCAAGAACTACCACATAAACGGTATAACATGTTTTGTGAACAACTACTCGATTTTTTTCGTAAACAACTACCCCTAAGATGTAAAAACTTAATCTAGCATTACCCTTTAATAGTTTCCGTCCAATTTTTTCGTTTGTAGGGTCCATAGTTATGTTTTTCCACGCAATTAACTCTTTTCCCACCTATTTTAACACTCGTAATATTGTGTTTTTTTTTTTCCAGTCACAACCAAAAATCCAAGAACCATAAATTCGAACAATTGAACACAATTTACTCATCACCAAATCAAGTAATTTTTTAAAGTTATTGTTGTAATTCGTTGGCAATGTAATCATTTTAGTGGTTTTAATTTACTTCAATCATCATAACACAACTGTTGGGTGCGGCAGTCCGCACCTAATAGTTCTTGCAGCAAAAAGGTAACACCAGCGACACTCCATCCTTCCACTACCTGCAAAATCAAACACATTGAACCACAATCTTGATCTACATCCCCAAAATCCCCAAATAATACTAAGAAAAAACGAAATCCCTAAAATCAAAACAAATCACAAATTAAAACAAATAAATAACCCTAAATCCAAAAAAACCTAAAAGAACTTGCAATTGAGGTGCTAATGGCACAACGTCGGATTAAGGTAGAGGTGGTGGTGGGCGGCTTCGGCTTAAGGTAGATGTGGTGGTGGCTACGCGGGGTCGGCTTGAGCGAGAAAAGACAAGGGGTTTGTGGGTTGGTGGGTTCGGTGGTTGCATGGTGGGGTCGGCTGGTGATGCGGTGGTTGGTGGGTTTGACTGGTGATGTGGCGGTTGGTGGTGCGGTGGGTTTGATGGACAGTGGGATCGGTAGGGTGGGGTGGCGTGAGGATTTGTGGCTGATTTGTTGTTGTTAATGAGAGCAAATCAATCATAAATCTTGTAAGTTGTTAACGAGAAAGAAAGTGAGGAAGAGGGGGAAAGGGGAGAGGGGAGGAAATGGAATTTGTTGTTGTTAATGAGAACATACTAGCCACAAATCTTGTATGTTGGTTATGAGAAAAAAAGAGAGGAAGAGGAGGGAAAAAGGATCGGAGAGAGAAGGAAATGAAAATATGTTGTATGTAGTTAATCATAATAGCAAACAAATGACGCATATTAGCCATTAAAATTAAATGAACATATTAGCCAATTAATGTTTGATATCAGACAATATTCGAGACATATCAAACATTAATAAAAATGTATCAGTCAACACAAGGAACATATTTGCCAAACAAATGAAACATAACAACCAACAAAAGGAACATATCATCCAAGAAAATGTACATATTAGCCAACATAAGGAACATATCAGCCAACAAATGAAGCATATCAACCAACAAAAGGATGAAATTAGCAAACAAAAGCAACAGGTAAGCCAACAAAATAAACACATTAGCCAACAATATGAAACATATAAGCCAACAATTAAAATATACATATCAGCTAACAAAATAAAGATATCAGCTAACTAAAGAAATATGTTAGCCAAATGTTGTCTGATAGCAGCCAACAAAAGAAGCATATCAATAATTAAAAAAAAAAACATATCAGCCAACAAAAGGAATATTTTAGCCAACATAAAAACCATATCATCCAATAAATGAAACATATCAGCCAACACATGAAACATATTAGCCAACAAGTAAAATATATCAACCAAGCATGCGTCAGTCCGCACCCAATACCTTCTCTTATCATAATTAGGGATTCAATTTAGGGTTTATGGCTTCAATATAATTGAGTGAGGGGATTTGAATTTCTAGTGTTTAAGGTTTAAATTAGATTAGGGGTTTTGCATTTTTGGGGTTTAGGGTTTATCGCTTCAATTAATCGATGAAAACGTCACAATTTCATATCAATTACTACATTACTTTGTCCATAACATTACTTTGAGTCACTAACACGGACTTACCCACACAAAGCAAGAAGATAAGTAAGAAAGAGATAGTGTCTAAGAGAAAAAAAGGACATAAAAACCTGTTAATTTATTGAAATAGAGGAGAAATTTGGAGCAATAAGATTAGATTAGATTAATCTAAAGAAAGTGAAAGGTGAAAGGAAAATGGAGGGAAATCTAATGAAGGATAAGGGAGGAGGCATGTAGCTGGGAAGGGCGGGATAATTAGGCGGTGAAAAGTAATTATGGGCTCCACAAACGAAAAAATTGGACGGATTCCGTTAGAGAATATTGATAGATAAAGTTTTTACATAAAACCCGGTATTTGTTCACAAAACAGAACATTTATGGGGTAGTTCCTAACACAATTTCCTAAAATATTAGTACATTTGTTAAGTAAAATCCACATGAATCAAATAAACCTAATGTCTTTCAATATCTTAGAGGTAGATTTGTCAATCTCTAACCTGACTTGTTAACCCGATTCGACTTGAATTTGATATGAATTTATCGAGAGATAACCCAAGTGACCTGAACTCGACTAGATTTGATCTATTATCATATTTTGCAATGATAATATGCTTTTACAATAAAACTTGAGATAGTTTTTTTTATAACACTACCCAAAATCTAATTTGAATTCGACCAGACATGTCTACTTTGAGGTGATTAGCAATAACGTTATTCCAACACCTTAATCTCATGAAAGTGGATTCCAAAATTTGCTCCATACCTCTCCTTCACTACCACAAACGATCCAAATTACTAAAATACCCCTCCCCCACACCAAAAAGAAAAACAAAAAGCCCGAAATCCACTTCAAACCACACGCTCACCAACGGCTACACTACACCAAAACTCCCCCAACCCAAAAAAATAAAAAACATAAAAAAACAGTTAAATAAAAACAAACATTACAAAAATAAATTATATTAAAATAAAATAAAATCTGAACCCTCTTTTTCTCTCTCATCCGAAAACCAAAACCGTTGCATTCCACAGTTCGTTGTCGTTGTTCAACTTTCTCTCTCCTCCAAAAAATGGCGACTACCTCTTCCCGGCGAACCGCCGACGGCGGTGGCGTCGGAGGGAAAATATTGAAGAACCGGCGAGTTCGAAGCACTCCGTATTCTCGACCATCTCCTTCTCCTCCGCCTTCCGACGACCCTGAAAACCCTAATTGGCTTTCTGGTTTGATTTATCCTGCAAAAGTCATTGCTTCTGGTGCTGGAAAGATTCTTTCGTTTTTCGCGAATGATTATTCGTCGTCGTCTTCTTCCTCTGATGGAAATTCTTCTGGTAATTTTGATTTTGTTGGATTTTTTGTTTTTGTGTTGTTGATTGTTTGAGGTTTGAGGATGGGGAAATGGAGGTGGTGAAAGAATGTTTGATGGTTTGATTGGTTTTATGTTTGTGTAGTTTGATTTTGTGGAAATTTGCTGAAGATTATGCATCTGAAAAGCCGTTTGAGATTTTAAAAATTTGTAATGTAGGAGTATTTTGATTGGGTGGAGGGGTATTCAGATTCGGGTTTCGGAATGTGTTGGATTATTGCTTGAATGTTATGCAAAGAGGAAACTTTGCATGTAATTTCTATTTTTGATGAATTTTTAAATTTCTACATTTGGTTAGCTTTTTATGGAGCCTTGGTAAAATTATCTGGTAGTCTTGGTTTGGTGGCCGGAGGTGTGACGAATGCCTCACGGCATTAATTTAATCAAGTTAGTCACTTTGTTATGGTTAGGGTCGGTGTGTTGACATTTGTGAAAGGAGTTGCCTGGATAAAGAGACGAGTGGCTGGTTTGCCATGTTGTTGGGGATTTCGAACATGGCCTTTATGGAGCTCATGCTCTCAAAGCTTGAAGTCATGTGCAATAAGAAATGGGTAGTGGCCTTTTTGAAGTCATGGCTTTTTGATGCATTAGAGTTGAATCGAAAGAGAAGACAGTGCAGAAGAATTAATAGCTACCTACAATAACAGAATAATGTATTAGATTGTCATTGGAATCTAGCTGATGAGGTGCAAAGTTTGTTTCATTTTTGTTCTAGGATTGATGTTTAAGAAAAAGCATAAAAATTTATAAGTTGAAACTTTCTCTCTTGGAGGAATAGTGTTACTCAAATATGTGATTATCAGAGTTAGAAGTAAAATGGTTGCTCTTGGCATAAATGGCTAGAGTAGTTGAGTTTCAAGTTAATATGAAGAAGCAAGGGCTGTGCTAGCTGTCAATTTGTCTCGTAGCCAGGTTTATTTCTGGAAGACTACAGATCAGAGTTGCACAAAGATGCAGTGTACATTGTACTATTAGGGGGTAGGCCACTTTATGAAAGGGGGGAGGGATGCAGATTTGATCCTCTGTCCTTGTATACCGGAAGGGAGGGGGGGGACTATTTTGCTTTTGTTTTCTATCACAGTATATAAGAGTATTAGGTTCTTAGGCTGTTGATGCTTGAAGATGTAATGTGTAGCAAACGAGGTTGTGCTCCTGTGCTTAAGATAGTCACTCCACCAAGTGCCATAGATCACATTTCTCATGAGTTGATGTGAATGTGAGACATATACCTTTACAGTGTTTTTATAATTAAATATGATATGATATCCTGTTTGTGTATTGTAACCATCTTTTCTAGGTTTTTCCAAATAGGTAAAGGATTGGTCGCTGTTTGCGGGTAAATTTTGAAATGAGCAACCATTTTTGGCTAGAAAAGCTGGCGAGTCGGCTATTCATAATTCAAGTTGTTTATTTATTCATTTATCCATCTATTTTGTTAATCTATGATTATGGCACTAAATTAATCCCAGAAACCAACATTACAGTTGGCCGAATTCATTTGTCGAACAATGCCTGAATGTATCCTTCATTCTACACTTGACAAATCTATATATTTTGTTATTGTTATTGTCACTCCCTTTGTTTTTTAATGTTTGCTTTTTTGCACAATTTTCAATGCAATATTATAGCTAATATATTTCAAGTTATTTATTACAAAAAATTATAAAATTTACATATTTGAAAACAAAAATTGAAATTAATCTAACAAAGATCCAACATGACTATTTTTGAAGAATAGAAAAGACATTATAGTATAAGATTCTATTTGCATTATAATCTTCCAAGATTTCAAATGGGACAAACAAAATTAAACAGAGACGGTATTATTTATTTATTTATATTAAACAATGACCTTTATTCGTTTGGTTAAAATTCTTGTACATTGTTAAATTGGTGCAAAGAGGCATTGGTTTGTTTTTCCTGATGCTTCCACAAGTTGATGGTTTGTCTCATCTTGATTCTTCTGAATGATTATGGCTTTCAGTTCTGTTAATTTGGAGTCATTATATTCTTTTTTTTTTTTTTTTTTTTTTTTTTTTTTTTTTTTTTTTTTACTGTCCAAGCATCCAGGGTATCTTAGCATAAGTAAAAAAACTTATATATTGTTATGTGCACCAGTCTTCATCATTGCTGCAGCTACATTGTGGGGGCTACTTTTCTTATTCTCTGCATTTAACTAGTGCTAAGTAGTGTGATTATATTCTGAAGTTTTTGTGGAGTGGATTGTTTATCTTTGTCTCTATCCGCAATCAAAACCACAGGATTTGTTTGATTTCAGATAATGATGACGAGGAGGAGAAGATTGGGAATGACATCTCATTTCAAGAGGATGATAGACTAGATAAGGTTAGATTCTATTTAATTCCTTGTTTTTTGCAATTCATAAGCCTTGATTTAATTTGTTTTAGTAATTTTATATAGCTGTATGAATATGTAAGCTGTTACATTTCATCCGCAGTTGAAGGTAATTTTTCTATTTTTGTAATCTATGATGGATGGTTGTGCAATTCTAGCCTTTATTTAGATTAATCTTTAGAGCTTTGATTTTGTACATACCCTTATGGTGGTTTGAGTTTTATTGCCCATGTTTTTATTAGGATTGTAAATTGACACCTTGTGTGTGCGCGCGTGCTTTGATTTTGTATATATCCATATGGGGGTTTGAGTTTCATGCCCCTGCTTTTATTAGGTGTGCATGTGCGTGTGTGTATCTTGGGGGGGGGGGGTTATACATATAATCTGGCCGAGGTTTTGGCACAATAGTTAGCAATCAAATTTAGGTTGCTTCAAGCTAATAAGGGTTTGTCCTTTGCTTACTTAGAGCTATAGTGTGCATTTGGGACTTGAATGGGTGTATTCTACTGTCCATAATTTGCCTCTTGTTACCTTTCATGAGTATTTGCAACCTCTAGCGGTACTAAAATTTAGGGCTAAGATGAGAGCTGACGTGTTGTATTTCATTTCTTAGGTGCTGTCTCTATCCAGCAAGAGTGATAATAAGCTTGCAATTGAACAGTTGGTTACTGAAGAGACATATTCAAGGTACAAAATTATTGCAGAATTCTGCTTATTTTTCTATTTGAAGCTTCTTGGTCCGCATGTACAATGTGTTTGGATAAGGATAATTTTAAGGAAAAGGGAGGGAAGAAAAGTTAAGGATTCATCTTTCCTCTTGGGACCTTTGGGTATGATTTGGGGGATGGGAAGGGTGCAAAATTGGAAGGGATCCATTTTCCTTCCTTTTTATTAAACCAAATCATTTCAATGAAAGATTTGGAAAAAATATGCAAGTTCACATCTTCCTTCCCCTAACCTTTGTTTTTGTTTACCCTTCGTCTATCCCCTATTCCCCTCCCTTTCTTTCCACAATATCTATTAATATTAGTTGTTTAGTAGGAAAATGATTTATTACTAATTGCAATTAAGTTATTCATGAAGTGAATGTGGTTTATGTATGACTATAGACAGTATTATTTGATTGTAGCTTTTTAAAAGGTCATTTCATTGACTCATATTCATGTTATGCCAAATATAAAATAACTGATTCCAATGTATTAGGGCCATACTCAATATACTAGAGTTGACAACATAGGACCCTACAGCTAGACAATGCACTATACTTATGCTCAAGGGCATATGCAGATATACTACTTAATGGACTATAGAATTGACAACATTAATGGTGGATGAATGGATCATGGATTAGTCTGTTCTCTGCATTGTTATATGCCACTAAATGCTGATAATTTTTTAATATAAGTTTGACAAGTGTTGGAAAAATGCCTTCTCTGCAATGTACTAGAGTAACTTTAGGAGGGGCAAATTGGGAAGTCTAGTATTATCAGGTTAATAGTCTTTATCATTAGTATAAATAGAGTGAGGGGAGAAAGGAGAAAGAGGCTGAATTTTTGGAGTAAATTCTTTGAGAGTTGTGACCTCAAGTCACTATTTTGAGAGTGGTGACCTAAAATCACTAATTTGAGATTTGTAGGCTAAACCTACTACCTTTTGTAAGAAGCCATCAGCAAGTTTTAATATAATTTCAAGCTTGCAGCCATAAATTTCTGCTCAATCATATAATTACACATATCAGATTTGCTACTCTATTACATACAATATATTTTGAGGCATTAAAAATGGCGATTTCCCTTTATGCCTTGGGGGATTGTAAATGCTTCTCTACTGGATTAATATGGCTTGACAGTTCCCTATTCTTTCATTATTCTTCTACGTTTTTCCCACTCACTGCCTTTATTAGATATATGATGTCTAACGTTTGAATTTGTATGATTATACTAACTATCTTAGCAAGCTTAAGAATAGTTTATCTCAAAATAGCAATACAATTACTTTATAAGCATACTTAAGGATATCATATGCATAATTGTTACTGGACATTGGCCTCAGGGCAACAATTGACTGAATCAACTTATTCCCCATTTTGCTGTCTGGCATTTACAGCAGATATGGTCGACTTCATATCTTTTTATCAGTTTACTCAACATTTAATTCTGTGATGATAGTTATACCATCTAATATGCTACAGTTCAATTTGGAGTTGTATGTTCATGTCAGTTGATGTTTTCTCTGACCAGGAAAGAAGCAAATGAATTGATAAAACTTGTCAGGTCTCGTATAGTGGACAGCAATGGAACTTTTGGTAAATTGCTTTGCAAGATTTTGATCCTGATATTGACAGCAATGTCTACGTAATTGCCTGATACAATTGTTTTTTTTTTTTCCTGTTTTTTTTTCCTCTAGGTGAAACTACTCCAAATATGCGGACCTCAGCAATTATGGAAGCCAGGAAATGGCTGCAGGAGAAAAGATCAGGCTCAAAGAAAAAGTTTCAGATGGAGCTTGATTCGGCAAATGTGGCGTCACCATTCCAAGTCAGTATCTTTTCTACAAATCTTGTCAATGTCTTTACGTTGATATGTTATCAAAATTTAACAAGGTTGCCTGGATGTTCAGCTTTTGTGTGTTGATTAACTGAATTTATAATCTGGATATACTCGTCTTTGACCTGCGTGTGTTTATGATTTACTTTGTACAACCTTATGTTTGCTGTATATGTTCATGAGTGTCCTAAACTTGGTTGCTATTAGGTTCTGAGTTACTGACTGATATGTGGGCATAGGTATTTTGGTATAATTGTTCAATTTTAATGCTTTCGAGGGTGGAAGTGCTGTGATGTCTGGAGGATTTCCTTATAACAATGTTACTCAGACAAAATGTTGTCTTATGTAATATGTATTACTATTTCGGCTATCTATATGAGCACACAGCAATTTGTGTTAAGGCTTGTTATTTTGAATTTTAATACCGGCTATGTATACCATTCGCGGGTAACATGCTATCATATCCTTTCATCGAACTAGATCTCCAGAAGTGAGAAGGGGTCCCCTGTGGATATGGCAAGATCATATATGCAGAATCGTCCTGCCTGGGCATCTCCGACTTTGAAGCAAGCTGAGGCTGGATCTTCATCACCGTTGGGCATGCTACATTTCAAGGAAGAAACACCGATGTCAACCTTACGCAGCTCTGAGGTATTATATTAGATTTTTGTTAACTTATCCTGCTGCCTTCAAAGGAACTCACGATTCAGTTACTTTTTATTGCTACTTTGACAATCATATTTTGAGAATGTTATGTATAATTGTGTTTCCCTGAATTTCTCCTACTTTAGGATTTTTTTTTTGCTTGAAGAGACAGAATGAGTTGTTAGGTTTTCCTTTGGGTGGTGTTTGTTTTTGTGGCAGTGTTATTTTTGTTTTTTATGCTGAAGATTTATTATTGTTTTGCTAAGAACATTTTTGCTTGCTGGTTACTCTCTCAAGTGATTGCCATTTTGTGTTTTAGATTTATACATATGGATTTAGGCTGGGTGAACAAAATATTTACGAAGTATTTCATATCCCTAGTGTGCTATGCTTAATATGAATTAGGAGAGACAACATTATCTTTTTTTTTCCTTTGTTTTTTTTCTTCTTTGGGGACGGTATTGGAGGTCATCGCCATTGGCCTCATAAAATTTGATGCCTTGTATCTTATAATGCTTGGCAAGTGACATTTGTCCCATTGTTCCAATTTTGAAGTACTTGACTTTGAACTCCTTTTCATTGTGCTAACTCACAAGGTAAGCCATAAAGGGGCATATCGCTTGCTGTCTTGGTGCTTGTGCTAAGGAAATCGACACACATCAAGTGAAAAGAGAAAAGTGCCTGCTTAATCCGCATTATAGGCTGGTTTAGCTCATGCTGTGATAGACCCGTTCAGCATGACACCCCTTACTTAAGCACATCCCAGGATTATTGGGGCGGGGACATATGCTCCCTAGAGTTAAAGAGGACGGGTGGACCTCTTCTTTAGCTCTTGCCCTCTTGCGTATTGAATTTCTTCCTTCCGAGCTTCATCTAGTCAACAGAGAAGGGGAATAGACCTTCAGTTGAGATATTTGTTTCTGGAGTTTAAGTACTCCTTAATTATAATATTTCAACTTGTTACGAGAAAATTATGTACTTAACCCACATCTTGAATACAGCTTTATGCATTTGGGAAATAAGTCTTTTTTTCTTGTCGTTTGCTCCTTTGAATTTCCATTCTCGACTTGTGTTTGGACTTGCATAAACGTTAGGTCCAGTAGGTTATTTCCAGCTTTACACGGATCAGGATATTTTTCTCTTAAAGCCTCTATGAGAGAAATCAATTAACTCGTAGTTGTGCTTATAGGTATTAAAGTTAGGACATAGGAGATTTATTTTGGTTTCTGCTTCTCCTTCAGTTCTACAATTTCTTACTTTTTCCCCCTTGTATACAATCTTCATATGAGGACATTTGACTTGTTCTTGTCGTACTCACTTGTGAGATTAATCTTTTGTCCAATCAGTAGCCAATCCTGCTTGTGATTCCTTTAGTTTTGTGAACGACTACTCTAGAGCTTCAATCTAATATTTTCTTTACTATCGTGGTTTGATTTACAATACATAGCACAGTTTATTATAGTACTTCTCAATCTGGTAAAATAGGTTGCCATCTAGAATTTAGAATAAGTATATGGTGTTTTTAATTCGTAAAATTGATACGGTCTTGTCTTGTCCTGTCCTTGCTTGATATAGTTTATGTCACAATCAATCATGTTTCATGTGATGCAGTCTTGCAATTTTGTTTGTGGGATTTTATATGATTGGTTTTTTTTTTTTTTTTTTTGGTATTGCTCCATTGAATTACTGATCATTATTGCTTCCTATTTCTGTTATCTTCAACATGTGTTTGAAGTATTACTTGTACTAAAAGAATAGTTAGTAACATATAGTTATTCCTCTTGTTAATTTTTTTTTTGGAATATTATGTGCGTGCAGATGAAAAGGAGTTCTTTTAAATCTGGTTCTTGGAATTTATTGGAAGAAATTCGAAGAGTGCGCTCTAAAGCTACAGAAGAGTTATTAGCTGCTGCACCACTGACAAAGACCATTCTGTTTTCTTCTGAAAGTAATCTGCCTCAAGATTCAGTGTTGAATAAAGCAGTTGAGGAAGGGGCAGGTCAGTTGTAAATCCTGTACTCGCTGGCATGTAGTTTCATTGAAGCATTTACTACAGCATTAAATGTAATGTGATGCGAGTATATTATCGTGACCCTAATGGAATATTACCTTTTGGACTAAATGATAGATATGGACTGATTTTAAGCTAAGCAATTTGCTTACTCTGCTTTCAACAGGACCTTTTAATCTTTAAACTAATTTTGACTCTATTTTCAGGCCCTGCAGAGTCTTTGCATGATAAGCCAGAAAATGAAACAAGTACTCTTTACAGAGTCAGCCAGGTTTGTACTTGATAGATCTGAAAAAAAATAAAAATAATTGTACTTATCTTTGGGGCAGATAAGAGGGAGGGAGGGGGGGGGGGGGGCGGCTGTCGGGTGTGATTGAGGGAAGTTTCTGGTTTGTATTGTATATATTTTGATTTTCTTAAAAATTGTGTTTTGAAGGAAGGTGAGGCTATTCAATCTGTGGAGCACCAAGAGTCCCAGGAAGCTGCTGGTAACACTTTTGTTCTCTTTAGGGCATTACTTATTAGTCAGCTGTATACACATAATGTTGGATGAAAAGAAAGAAAATACATGATGGGAAGTCAGCCTTTTTCTTTTTTTATGGTTGGTTTGATAATAAGAAAAAATGTGGAGCAAGTGTCTTATTTATGAAGGAAAAGAGGAATAGAACTTCTTCATTTGTAATCTACTAATGAGATTTTGTGTAAGGATTAAAGTATTGGCATATTTGGTAGTAGAAAAGCTTCGTTGACTATAATTTGGAACTGTTATAATTTTGTGCAAAGGATGTTAGCTTTTAGAAGCTGCTTCAATGATTCAGACTCCCAACCCCCCCTCCCCCCTCTCCTTTGGAGGACAGCAGTCCACCATGCTTGTTAAAGTAGAAATATATTAATAATCTGTTGTTTGTCGTCACCTAACTCTTATGTTATGCTACATGTGTTAGAGTTGACGCAGAATGATAATGATGAAGTGAAGCAGTTGAAGGACACAACAGCAGAAAATGGCTATGGGTGTTCTGCATCTGGGTGAGTCAGGCGTAACTTGTACACTTTCTTGAGAAAATTTTATCTATGTTCAAAAAAGAATTATAATGGAAAGAAAACCTTATCATATCCATATCTCATCTTTTGGACAGTTTGGCTCAAGGACAGGACACTGCTAATGAGGCAAGGCCATCTGAAGGAGAAAATGGGAATTTGGTTGATTCAAGCCAAGCAGAGCATGATATTCATATGGAAGATAACTTAAACCCTCAAGAGGAGCCAGTTATTGACATACCAACTGATGCTGTGGTTAATGGTTCCCCAAACAGCTCTAGCATGCAACAGGAGGAACTGTCACAAAATTTCAGCCAGCCGGTCGCAGGAGATAGCCCAGCATCCATAGTCAAGGACACACAAAAGGAGAGAAAATCGAGAGGTTACACACGGAGAGGCAGAGGAAAGGGTAAATGAATCACTGACTCCAAATTGTAACTCCATTTGTATCATGCCTTGTATGCTAGTGTAGACGTAATCTTAACGCAGATAGAGAGCATCTGTAGGGTTTGAACTTTGAAGCGGACTTGTAGCAGTAATTTATCAGCCTCCAATCAGTCCAATCGCGGTAATTATAGGTCCTTTGTAGTGGGCAATTTGTATCTCAGCAGAGTGCTTGATTACATGATGGTTTGTGTAGTTAATGGGATGATTCCCACATGATTTAATTTCTCAATGATTAGTCCAACATTTGGAAGCTTGAAAAACTCTTTAATCTTAATTTAAAGGAATAATTGCACGAATAATCTCAACTTTTGGTCTTATCCTCATCTTTTCATAGTTAGTTGGTAACTGTTTATAATTCTGTTAATTAGCCTTCTCCTTTCCTTATAAGCTGTCACATTAACTTAAATAAATAAAGGTATACCAAGTAGATAAATATATATTTAGTAAAATATTTTATTTGAAAATTACAAATAAACATGCATCGTACGGGTTTCATCTAGTTAATTATAAAGGGAGAACACACGACATTGCAAATTTTAGTCTCAACGATTTGAGGTCAGCCAATAAATAATTAATTAATTTTACTACAGCGATTAAGTAAATAGGCCAATTTCAGCATTTTATACGAGCAACCACCTAAAAATGTTTAAATACATGTACTTTTTATTTATCTATCTTTTAAAATAATACGGAGTAATTTCAATGTTCCTCCGTAGTATATGTTACGGAGTTAAATAACATACTAAGCGATGTGAACAAAAGAGTGAAAGACAATCCTCACTTGCAGTTGCATTTGGGAGAGCCTGAATCTTGGGATACAGTAGGAATGTAAAAGGTTTGAGTGAAAGTATTCACCTCGTAATTTAAGTGTTTTACCAACACCGGGAATTTATATTAGCTGCAATCCATTAAATGCTCAAATTAATCTTCTTTGATTGTATATTAATCCTCTGAGGCCTCTGTTTATCATTCAAAAAAGTTCAAATCACCAGCATACAGGGAGGTGCTTCCACAAGACATCATTGTCAACATACTCTTCCGGCTACCTTCAAAATCAATCGGGTGTGTGTCGAAGCCATGGAAGTCTCTTCTTTCACTTCCCCATTTCATTAAAACACACCTAGATAGAATCAAACATATCCCAACAACACAAGAATCACTCCTCCTTGTTTCCAATGATTCTGCTTCTTTCTATTCTGTCCATTTTAAAAATGCCCTTAACAGGAGTGAAGAAATCATTGTTTCTGCTAGCAAGCTTAATCTTAGTGATCACATTTATATTTGGACCGAAAGGAGTAATGTTGCCTCTTGTGATGGGTTGATATTGCTGAATAATGAACCATTTAACATATGGTTATTAGTAAATCCAACTACGACAGCCATGAAGGAGTTGCCTATCTCACCTTTTGTCTTTGTGATTGGGATAGTTGCAAAAATGCTGATAAATTTGCTTTCACGCTATGCTTTTTGGGAGTCCAAATCTCTGGGATTTGGGGGGACTGTTGCTTCCCTCTAACTGCCAGTTGTGTGAGTAAACTATATGTGCAATGTGCTTCTCAGTCAAAAATAAAAACATGATACGCAGGACTGATGTTTCTGATCAAAACACTTACAGCCTAGTAGAGGCTCGGTTTCACCGGTAGATATAACAATGTACACATAACATAGTTGCATATTTAATACTCTGTATATGAAAATTCTTCAGAAACAGTACAATGCCTAGTGGTTCCGAAACAAACCAACCTCATGGACCTTCAGGTCGTAAGATAGATAACAGCATGCACTATGCTTATTAGTCAAAATTAAAAAAAAAAAAAAAATAATAAATAAAAACATGAGACGCAGGTCCGATGCTTCTGATCAAAACACTTACAGCCATAAAGCTGGTAGAGGCTCGGTTACACCGTTGGATCTAACAATGTATACATTACATAGTTGCATATTCAATATATGAAAATTCTTCAGAAACAATACGAGGTCTAGTGGATCAGAAACTAACCAACCCCATGGACCTTCAGGTAGTATGAATGATAACAGCATATATGTAACTAAATAGTTGGGTTAGCAAATTACTAGAATGACAACATTAGTATGAAGAAGAAGTATGAAGAATATCGAAGCAAATAGTTCATCAGAATCTCAGCTATTTCATAATCACATAAGAGTGCATGAGGAAAACTTAGCAAATTTTGAGACATAATGTCATACAATCTACCTGGAAAAGAAGAAAAAAAGAAAAGATTGCAAGAACATTTGGATAGTGGTGTAACAGTACAAAAGTAAAACATTACAATTTTTTGATAGGAGAATGGCTGGCTAGTAGCAACTCCGATCCGTGTTCAAGATAGCGAGTCATTTCATCAAATAGGTGGTGTGCAAAAAGGATTGTGAAATTCACAGGACACGGAAATTAGTAATTATTCTTCATTGACAAACTAACAAAGCAATGCAATCCTTAAGTCTAGAAATACACTTATACAACAGAGATCAAAAAGTTGAACCAGAGTACGCGAATTTAATGGAAGGAATGTGTTGAATGTGGGGCCAGTCCTCTCCGGTTGGTTCTTGGCATCTTTCTCTCAGCTGTGCTGAACAATCCCAGACATCAAGCTCTCTAAGAGAGGTGAGTTGGGAAATCCAATTTGGCATTGATTCCACTTTTTTGCAATTGTAAATAAGAAGGGTTTGGAGGGCAGACAAGTACTGTATCCAATTGGGCACTTCTACCATCTCTGTAAGAGCTTCCAATCTCAATGTGCGAAGAGATTGACAAAAGGATACTCTTTCTACTTCTTCTGATTCATTCAAATTATCGCAACTGTAAATTGTTAACTCCTTTAAGGCAGAGAGATGCTCTAAACCTCCACTGACTACACTCTTCAATTTGTCGCAACCTCTAATTTGCAAGTACTTCAGGGAAGCCGAACAGCTACGAAACACCTCCATAGTTTCTCCCAAACTTTCCACCTTGTTGTCCTCAAATATGTCAAGCTTTGCACAATCATGAAAATAGTTCATGGGCAGTGAATTAAGCCATGCCACATTGTCGATTTCAACCTTCCTTAAATTGGGACCAATTTCATAAGGTGAGGCCTCTCCCCTTGATATTGGTATTATTTTCAATCTTTCATTGAATGAATATAATATTAGCTCTTCCAATGCAGGACACTCCAAAATAGCTGTTAGGTTTGGACATTCACCCAACCTTAATATTTTTAATTGCGGAAGTCGTAATTGTCCCAAATGCTGCAATTGCTGACAACTATAAAATTCTAATTTAACAAGATTAGGGAGAAAGGTTGCCAAGTTATAATTGTCCCTTGCCCAACTTGGCATTCTCACACCTTGATATCCAACCATACCAAATATCTTGAGATTAGAATGTGGCTGCAACTCCTCCATCACTGCTTCTTCATACTCCTTTCTTTCATTATTGGAGAAATCAATGTCCACTTCTTTCAGATGTCCATTGTTCCCCAGGCACCCACCTTCCTTTCCACCATTTATTTTATAACCTGTCTTCATATATCGAACCATGATATCAAGAGAACCTTTCAAGTTACTTAGAGCTTTTAGATCTTCCAGCCCTTCAAGTAAGTTATTCTTACTTGAACTCATGTCTCCCAACACAAACAAATTAAGAGTGTGAAGGCAACTCAACTTACGCATGCCCCTTGGCATATACCTCAGCTCAAAACAATATGTTAAATCCAAGACCCTCAACATAACCAACTTGCTCAAATCTTTTGGCAATTCTTTCAATTTTCTACAAGAACTTAAGTTTAAAGTCTGGAGAGTATACAGTTTTGTAATAGATCTTGGGAGAGCTTCTAATACTTCCAATTACCTACTAATGTGTGAGAGGTCTAGATACCTCAAGTGTATCAGATCACCTATTGAGCCCGGCAAACTCTTGATTCTTGACCCACGCAAGTCCAATGCCCTTAAATACTTCCAATTACCTACTAATGCAGCCACACAAAGCTGATCCATCTTGAATTCTTTATGACGAGAAGAAAGAAATGAACGTAGGGATCTGGAACTTTCATCACTACAATACGGCTCATTAGCACGAAGAAATGAACGTAGGTGGCTCTTCTTTTTAGTAAAAGAGAAATTATTTGTACGTCTAATAAGAGAGAGATGGCGAACTTTTTTGTCAACATCCCCATTCATGGTTTCCACTCTGCAAATCTCCTTTCCCACAACTTGTTGAGCAAGATCATGCATTAAATCATGTATCTTACATGATTCAATGCTACCATCTTCGTCTTTCTTCACGTCTTGCAAGAAACATCTCCGCAACAAGATCGAGAAATATTCCTCAGCAAGATCTTCCGGACTCTGAGGATCATCCAATGGGATGTAGCCATGTGCCATCCAAAGCCTTATCAGTGTATCCTTCTTCATCACATAATCTTTACGAAACACTGCACAATAACAGAAACAACTTTTCAGTGGGGATTCAAGCTGGTAGTAACTCAGCTTCAATGTAGGTATGATGCTATTTTTGCTTCTATTAATTTGCGCTAATCCCAACTTTTGAATTTTCAGCCAAATATTTTTTTCTTGGCCAAAGAGAAGACTTCCCACCACTCTAATTGCAAGAGGGACAAAAGCACATTCCTCTACAATATCTTCACCAATTTTGAGCAAGTCTTCGGGAGGGTTTGAGTGTTGTGATCCAAATGCTACTTTTTTAAGTAAACGGAATGAATCTTCCTTTGACAAGCCTTCTAGCTCATGCTTCAGACCCTCTCCTATGATTTCCGCAGTTCGATGTGAGCGCGTTGTAACCACAATCCAACTTCCAATCTGACCTCCCATCAAAAATTTCTTCAAATTCTGCCATTGCTCATAATTTTCAGTCCACACATCATCCAAAACAAGCAAGAATTTTTTCCCAAGAAGCTGTTCTCGAAGTTGTTTTTGCAGCACATCCATGGTAAAGTCCCCATTCATCTTCTTTCCACCTGTGGCCGACGCTAGAATCTTATCAAGAACCCCTTGCACATCCAACAACTCCTCATTCTCATCAGAGACACAAGTCCACACTTTTAATGGGAATGCAGTTGTGACTCTTTCATCGTTATACACAAGTTGGGCAAGCGCTGTTTTACCCAACCCACCAATCCCAACAATGGAAAGAAAAGAAACATTTTGCTGAACATTAGAATCAAGTAACACACCAACAATCTTCTCTAAATCAAGCCCTCTTCCAATGATGTCATCAGCTTCATACACATAGGAACAGGTCTCAGGCCTTCGATTCTTAATGAGCTTAGGATCAATGCTCAAGCTGAACCGCTTATCATTAGCAATAGCATCCAGCTTACTCTTGATCTTCTTCACCCCCTGAGTCATATTGTAAGCAGTACCAAACTTGGTAAAAAGAGAAAGCACACGAACCTTGATACCCTCGGTGAGCTGGTTCCGCTCAGCAAGAGTGACAAACTCATCGAAGAGATCATCGGCTTCATAAACTGCATCCTTGAGTTCTTCAATAAAGAGCCGTTCTTGTTCCGACAGCTCTTGCTTGGCCTCAGCATCCTTGAGCACGGCCTCTATTCTTATGACAGTGTCACGGAGTTCATTGAGTTTGGATTTGTAGTGAGCAGTGGAGAATATCTCTTTGAGCAGATCACAATCCAGCGCTGCTAACAAAGTTTGAGCAACAGACATGGCTGTTCCAATGTCCATTTTTGATTTGGTTTGCAGAAATTTGTGCGAGAAAGAGGAGAAGAGTGATAGTAAAAGTAGTAATGGTGAAAATGGGGTGATAACCAAATACCATCCAAGTAATTGTATTTCAACAGTTATCCTAACAACAGTAAGTGGTTCATATCATTTACATCTCAATTATTGAATCAACAAAGTCACTTTCAAGCAAGCTGTAATTGCTATTCCATTTTCACACTAGTGATACTACTGATGAGTGGGGACAACTTTATCAGTAAACTGTAATTTCTTCGAACTTTCGCTTTTAATAGTTTCACAGAATTTATGCCAAGCTAATTTTATCGAGGGAGACCCAGTTCTTGTATAATGGCATTTTGAAAAATAATGTTATCAATGTGAATCCTGATCATCTTGCTCTTTGCTGTGGCTGGTTTTAGTGTGGACGTTGTTTATCTACATTAGGATAACAACAATAAGTGGTTCATATCGTTTACATCTCAATTATTGAATCAACAAAGTCACTTTCAAGCAAGCTGTAATTGCTTCCACTTTTCCATGTTGACGTTGATTTTTAATTTGTCACACTTGTAAATAATTGTTATATTGAATTATTGATGAGTGGGGACAATTTTATCAGTAACTTATAATTTCTTCGACTTTTCCATGTTTATTAAGTTGCTTTTCCATTTTCACACTAGTGATACTACTGATGAGTGGGGGGACAACTTTATCAGTATGTTGTAATTTCTTCAACTTTTCCCTGTTTATAAAGTTGCTTTTCCATTTTCACACTAGTGATACTACTGAAGAATGGGGACAATTATATTAAGTTGTAATTTCTTCGAACTTTCGCTTTTAATAGGTTCATAGAATTTATGCCAAGCTAATTTTATCGAGGAAGCTTCACTTTCTCCTTATGAGAAATATTTTTGTTTTTTATAATAGCATTTTGGAAAATAGTGTGATGTTTTCACTTGTGAAAACCGCCTATGTATAATGGATGGAACTCTCAGATTTTGACACATAATCCATGAGAAACAAAACTTATTCCTCACAAATACGGATTATAATAGAATGAACGTATTGTGCAACAACATGAATTTTAAATAGATAAGTAAAATGAAAATTTAACAAGTGAATCGTGAAAAAAAATCATAATGTGTCGCTTAAAAAATAGAGGGAGCAAACTTTTAATACGGAGTAGGCTTATAAATTTCAAGCCAATTAAATCCAGATTAATATGAAAAAACAGAGTTAATAATTGCGTCGTCAGCGAGCGTCTATTTTTTTTTTTTTTTTTTCGAGTTTTTTTGTCCCGTCAATTATTCACAACTTCACACCATGGAGTACGATACTGATTTATGAACCACAATCGTACTAGATAGACCAACCTTATTAAAAGTTTTGGTTCTTTATGAAAATTAGTGTTTTTTTTTTTCTTTTTTTTGGTTAAATGAAAATTAGTTGACTAGATGCATTTTCTTTTGTAATTTGTACTCGTATAACGTTTGGTAATTGGTATACTTTTGTAGGCAAGTTTAAGAACTTAGAGGGCGTTTGGTTCGTAGAGTGGTATGAGTTTGAAATTAGAAATAGGGTTAAGGTGGTATTGGGTTGGAATTTGATACTTAATACCATGTGTTTGACTCAATTTTGGAATTGAATCTCTCACTATTCACTCCTTTTATTTGATACCTAAGAGAATGGAATGAGTCAAACCCACCTCCCCCCTAGGATTTCTAAACACCACACCTCATGGGTTTGAGGTATGGGTTTAAAATTTATACTTTGACAACCAAACATATGGTATGAGTTTTAGTTATTCTAAACCCATACCTCATACCCTATATTCCGGGAACCAAACGCCTCATTACAAGTGTTTCTTTGAATAAAAAAGGAATCAATATTTAATGATCTTAGAAAATAAGGCATTCGTCTAAAATTGACATAGAAATTTTGGTTTTGTAAAGAATTGGGAGGGTAAGTCACTTTCCATGTCTCATAGGAAATTTAACTTTTAAAGAGAGAAAAACTGAAGGGGTGTTAGTTAACTGACATGGGGCCCACCAAACGGCAAACTTAACAGCTTCAGTCAAACGGTACTGAATTTTGACAACAATGATTTGAGTGGTAGTATAATAAAAAAAAAAATTAAGAGGTAGCAAAATTGAGGTGCATGACTTTTAGTGGTAGCAAATTTGAAATTGTCCTAAATTTAAAGACACATTGTTAGAGATATGATATTATCAATATCGAAAAATATGTGTGATATATTTTCCGTATTGATCTTATTAAGAGAATAATGTATTTAGTTTTATTTACGTCCTTAGGATATATAGACAATATGGTTACGGTAGATATTTTTTAGAAGATTGTTTCCTATCTTAACATCTTAAGTTTTGTATAAATACACTACCTATCGATAAATAATAAATCAAGAAAAGCCATTCATTCTCTCTTTCACCCCAAATTGTCACACATTTATATTTTACATCATCCAAATTTCTAATTTAACAAGAAAATGTTCAATTGTTATTTGAAGTGAGTTGGAGACCTTGGAGTGACCAAAATTAAAAGATATGATTAGAAATCATTTATTTACATTACATTTTCGTATTTTTTTTTACTAACGAAGTTAATGATATTTAACAAAAACTAAACGCAAAAATCATGACCTGGTGTTAAGGTTAGAAACATGAAGTAAATAAACAGTTGAGTTAGTCGTCGTACCCCTTGAGGCAAATTACTAGAATAACAACCTTAATATGAAGAGTAACAAAGCATATTCATCAGCATCTCAATAGTTTCAGAATCACATAAAAGTACATGAGAGAAGCTTAGCTAACATAGTTACATAATCTCATTTTAATCAAACAAAAAAAAGCATTGAAATTTGAAAAGTATACAAGTTTCTGATGGGAGAACTGCATTTTCATCAAAAGGACTAAATACAGTTACACCAGAGATTCTTAAGGTTCATACTAATCAAAATCCAACGAGAATTTCCTTAACTTTGGAGTGTATATGTTGTATAATGATCTTGTTTCTTTTTTTCACTTGTTCTTTCAGCCTGATATAACAGCACTAGGAGTCAGTGTGATTGCAGCCTACTCTGAAGTGCAAGGACCAACAAGTTGGTGGGTCATCGTTTATTATAACGAAGCATGTTTTAAGAGAGCAATTTGCTTCTTAAGTTTTAAATAATTTGAACATACAATTATAATTGTAAATATTAACATATGGGTTTGAAAACTTTAAATGTACGACAATTATGACTATGTATGATAAAATTTAATGTCAGAATCCAAATTTCAATTATAACCAATAATTTGAGGGAACCATTGCATTGTGAAAATTTTGTTTGTTTAGAAATGTATTATACATTTATACAAGTTGTTATTCTTTTATTAACAAAATCTTTAAATTAAAATTTAATTAATGTAGAAACTAGAATTATAGGAAAAGGGAAAAGTAGAAAGGTTGAATGATAAGAAAAGAAGGGAAAGATTGAATAAGAAGCCAATCACAAATTCACAATGGCTTTGTACCATAAGTCCATAATGGCAAAATAGAAACAGAGGAAAGTGAAATTAAAAGAAAAAGAGGTCAAAATTTTTTTTTTAAAAAAAAACAAACAGATCGAAAATAAAAACATAGAAAATGTGAAATATTAAAAAATATTGAAAGAGAATAGGGGGGAAATAGAAAAGCTAAAATAAATGTAAAAGAAAAGGGGAAGAAATAGAAAAGCTATAAAAAGGTAAAATGCTGAACATGGGAATCGAACCCACGACCTAACAAGGAGACATCCCTATGCGAATGAATTACCAACTAAGCTGCAAATTTTTTTGCAATTTATATGCACTTAGAATAATATTAACAAATTTCTTTTTTGGACTTGGTGGGTCACGTGACCCACCAGGACCCACGCTGGCTCCGCCAATGAATGTCCGAATTTACGCCTATTATATTATCAATCTATTCAAGCTGAGTTATAAAAAGTCAAATCCGACCCATTAACCCAAAACAAGCCAAACCATGTCAAAATTGATATGAGTATATAAATAGTATACAAATCTAAGTAATCTATTCCAAAAAAAAAAGGGGGTAATCTATTAAAACGAAAAGAATTTAATCTAATGTACTTTTTAAGAAGAACTCTATAATGTAAAAATATGATACTTATAAAATATATTAAAAATATACTTCCTCCGTTTTTTATTATTTGCAACAATTACTAAAAGTGGGCGCTCCATATTATTTGCAACAAGTTTTTTTTTTCCCTTTATAGTAAGTTTAGGGTATGTAAAATTCCGAAATTACCCTTAAAAAAACTGATTAGAAACTAACCTAAAATGTAACTATGATTAATAAACTCTATAATCTAACATCCTAACCTAATCCTTCCCACCAAAAATCAGAATCCCCTCCCCCTTTTTCCATTAACAATTGAGGAACCCTAATTCATTCACCTCCTCACCTCCTCACCTACCATCATCAATGCAGCTCTCAACCACCGCCATTAATGAAGCTCTATTACATCTTCCAACCTTTATTATGTTTCGTTTTTTCATTTTCGAACTTTCTGCCTTCTCCCAAAGCAGTGCCCGTTTCTGTTTCTCTCTCTTCAACTTGAAACCCTAATCTTTGCGATTCTCCCTCTTCAACTTGAAACCCAGAAAATAAGTTCCTCAGACAAAAAAACCCCAATTCCGGCGTCATTGCTACCTATAAGTGTGACAAACGCAGTGGGAAGATGCGTTTGTTTGGAACCCGTACTGCGATGTACTTGGATATGAAGCGTAGGTGTTAGGATCCAACCTCTTTCATCATGTATTTTGCTTTCTTATGTCTTTACTTAGTTTATGTTAGACTTTCAATGTATTCGTGTAAGTAGTTTAGGCGCTAGAGGAGATTATTATGTTACTGTCATTTCAGTGTTCACTAGTATTTCTCCATGTAAACAATATAAAGCTCTATATGGAGCGATGGTTGAATGAATG